TTTTTTCGAAATAAACAACCAATCAAAATAAATTTCTATCTTGCTGAATTACATATATTTATTTATTTAAAAATTAAAAATATAAAATATGTTGGTCTATCTATTTTTGTCAAAAATGATGACATTGAGGTCGATCGATCGATCGATCGACATCACAAAGAAAAATAAATAAACAAAAATATTCGTTATTAAAATGATTATGTTTTACTCGGGGTGCTAGTACGTGTGACGGTCGATGCAACTACATTAATGGCTGGTATTATTATTGGTTGGTACAGTTTGGGTGACGGTAACCTGCCTAGGCAACTTGGCTATGATAATTGCGATTATGATTAATATGACCAAAGCTATGATTCCAAAGAAGATCCATTTTTTTTTTCTAGCGCCTAGTGAGCTTTCTCTTGCTTTTGCAATGTCATGACTCGCTATTTTTATATTTGAATAAGAAATCTTTTAAAATTTGTTGATAATAAATATAAAGTTGAATATAAAATATAATAATCACCTTGTTCAAGTTCCGTTGTAACTTTTTCCGTATTATTTTCGATATCACCGATAATAGGATCTTGAGAATTTACTGTAAGCTCCATTTCTTGGACTAAAGAAACTAGTTCAGTGATGGTACTTTCAATTTGTTTAATGTCACCATGCCGTTTCTGAACTTCAGCTAATGCATTACGGGCCTCACCAGTGCGTACAGCATTTGCAAACACTGGCTGATTTGACGAATTAGATACATAATCGTCGATTTCTTCTTGCAAAGCTTGAGGATTAGCAATTTTGTATTGACGAGCGATTCGTTCTTTTTGTTGTCCAATATAAAAATCTTCGATCCCGCGATATTCATTAAGAAGACTATTGAATTTCTCATGAAGGCGTAGGTGTTGTTGTGTCCGAGAACTGATATTCGGATCGGATTTTGGTATTCGAGCATTTTCATATCCAATTTTCTTGATGCGGTCTTTTATTTGGAACAAGAGCTTCCTTGTATTTTCCATCAGGATATTACGTTGTTTATTAAGCTCATCCTCTCGCATTGACGCAGTGCTATTCAAAATTTGTGTTTCTAATATTTGAATTTGGCTAATATTGTTTTGTATCGTAGTGATACTAGCATCAATAGAGTTAAGCTCTTCAAAGAATTGTATTCCTTGTTGAGATGACATTCTTTTTTTTCGTGTTAAAAATAAAGAATATAGAGGATAAAGAAATCAATAATTAATACTTTGCCAACAAGTAATTTATTCTATCATTCGCTATTTATTTATTGTGGCGGCTGAAGCTGAGATTGGGGTCTCTATTTAAATCTATAATACCTTACTAAAATTAATTTATACTCTTTTATTAATAAAACTAACCTTAAACCTTAATCTAACTCTAAAAAAAAAAGCTGACAAAAAGGGCCCTAAAAATTTTTAAAATTTAATATTAAAATATTTCAAGACCTCACCTTCAGTCTGCCACATTTATTATTTTTGAAAATATGAAATAGAAAAAAAGCAATGGGTAATTTGCGGAAAAAATACAACTTTTCAAGTCAATCGATTTCAAGCCCAAGTTAAAGTGGTAGAGGCTGTGAACAATTGTTCGCTTGTATACTTTAATCCAGTGGTGGCTTTTTCTCGATCTTTCAATAATTATTACCGTAGTTTAAGGAAAGCGAGTAAAAGCCGGTGCAATAAGGCTCACCGCAGTAAGTAATCGCCATATATCCGAACATCATACATTGCCAATCAGAACGTTCAAATGGAAACGATGGTCGACATCTTAATGTGTCCGAGTTGATCAGCTCCATAGATAGTTCACCGAGGCTTAGTCGACATTTAGAAAAGTTTAGATCGATCAGATTCATTTTATCGTAGGCTGTGAAATGGCTGAAGTTCCAAAAAGCCAATGAATTTTTACATTGAGATTTGCCATTTTCAGAAATTCATTATTCAAAATTCTAATATTGGTAAATTTTCTTACCGCAGTATATCCGCTATATGGTTTTCAGACTATTGATACGAATTAACCAAAATTGAATTTCCGTTGTCTTTATGGCTGATGTTCTGATATTCTACTAATAATTATTGTTATTATAATAAGTTTATCGTCGGATCTCATGCACGATCAAATGCTTGGTTATAACACATAAGAAGCTTAATACTGGTAAGATTCATGAATTTAACATGAATTTTATTATACGCATAGCAAAAACCGTATGATCACGTTGATCGTAATACTGTAATACAAGTGAATCTCGATATAAGAAAGGTGATCGGATCCATAGAATTTATTAATAACTTTCTTATATCGAGTAGATTTATTATAGACTGGTTTTGGCTTGACTTTCTTATATCGAGAGTTTAATTAGTCTTTCTATATCGAAGGTTTCTTATATTGGGAGTCACTAGTATAATGATCACAAAATAAAAAAGTTTTTTCAAGACATTTCATTAGAATATTTAACAAATTTTATGGCTTTCGTTTATGTACCATTTAGTTCATTTATATTTGGTCCGTGAGTGCAAAAAATGTTTATTAACAAATATTACACAATATCTCTTTTATTCACATTGATGGATTTGAAATTTTTCATAAGTTGTTTCAGGATTAGAAATGTACCTTGCATGAGATAAAACTAGTATACAATCCACAAAATCATGTGACTTCACGCGAAGTACGGGTGATCTTATTCAAGAACAAATTGAGTTTAGTGGATTATAGAATTTTGGAAATGTGGTGTAAGCGGGCTAATCGCATCAGATTTTTATAATAACTAGGTACCGTAAATGTGCGTATGCAAAACTCGGGTCTGTTACATTCCACCAACTTTAAACCACTTATAGACTCCGGATCTGGTTCTGGATCTTCTATTTCAGGGGATCTTGTATACGGTATGCGTTACTTCAGGTTTTATTACTTAATTTCGTTTTTTTATTATATATTATTTTCTAATACTGAGAACTAAAATCAAATTTAAATTAACCCGAAGAACTCTTTCCCGTACATCACTAAAATTAAGTAAACAAAAAAGTAAAAATCGAAAAAA